TAAGTTTAATATCGAAAAATGATATAGATATATAGGATGAGCTAGCATACAAAGATTCATTGTAATACATTATTTTCTTTTAATCAATATTGTATTACTTCGAAAGAACCTTTCAGCTTAGTCTGATGCGTTTGTTAGAACATCATTGTTAGAATGATGGCAGTTAATTATCTATATGTTTATGAAGTTATTTATTGGCACAAGCGAGACATGTTGTGGGGGTCATTATAAGAAATACCGAGGACTTGTCCATCTGTCATGACTTGTTAGCCTTCTCAGAATTTTATGAAATTTTTGTATTTATGTAAGGTTTATAACAGTAATGTCTTGAACATTTTCGAAACCAAAATACGGCTAAGGTAATCTAAGCCTAGGATAAGAAAATCCTTAGTATTTCGAATAAGTCATACTTTTGCAATCAGTTAATTTATAAAAATGACCATATAATTGATATTCATGTCAACACCGAAGTGCTGACTACTGGGCTTGTGATATCCTCGGGGACGAAACGTCCACCAGCAGTGGCATCGACCCAGTGGTGTAAATAGTTATCAAAGGTACCAGGCTTATAATTTGATACGCCAGACGCGGGTTTCGTCTACATAAGACTCATCAGTGACGCTCAGATCAAAATAGTTAGAAAGCCAAACACTATAAAGTTGAAGAGCATTTAGGACCCAAAAATATAGAGCCATAAATATGCATAAGTATTTACAAAAATATTGAGTTTGATTTTAATTTACTGATAAGAAAATCAACATAAATACCAATAAAAACAATATTCAAATATCTTATGACAGGGTTGAATTGGAAACCAATACGAATATATTTACTTGAAAAATATCAATAAGTTTATCCGGTTCATTTCTAAATGTCAATGAGACAACTCTGCACAAGAGACCAACACGACACAGAAATTAACAACCATAGGTCACAATATTGCCTTATTGTATTCATTTTTGTATCATTCATTCAAAGTGGCATCAAAACCATTGAATGCAGAGATAACTGGTGTTACTAAGGATACTATATCTGTTAGATGGGATCCACCAATGGATCCTGGTGGTCAGATACTTGCATATAGATTGACTGTCAAAAACATTATCGATTCTTCAGATGAAAAATGTGTGCAGGAAATAATTCTCCAGTGTAGTGAATGTGTAACACAGGTATGTCAGGATAAACTATCGTATGGGAGGGACTTTTCTTAGTTTCCTATTAAAAGATTACTTCATTTTCCAGGCAATTGTTTGTTAGCATTGATTCATCAAAATTTAACATTCAGTCGATATCTGTCTTGCCACAATAAAGGTAGTCTATTAATAAACAACTTCTACAGTTTATATTCGTAAACAATTTGATAACATTTTCAAAGCAGTTTGATAAAAATGATAAAAAAAAAAAACCAAATCACTGACAAAATATTTTGTTGAAAATATCAAAATGAAAATATGACGTGTCCGTGCTTTGTTTTTATACTAAAACAGCTGTTCTTTTTTAATTGATGTATTAATTCCAGAATTACTATACATAAATTTCTAATCCAGTTCGAGTTAATCTTTTCAAAGAGAGACCTCATCTAAATGTATCGAAGATGCGAAGGGTATAATGATTTTGATCTGTCCGTCCGTCCGTCCGTCCGTCCGTCCGTCCGTCCGTCCGTCCTTCTGTCTGTCTGTCCGTCTGTCTGTGTTTCCGTCTGTCCGTCATTCATGTTTTTGTCATTGCAACCACATGACATATTTTTTATGAAACTGTTTAGATACTAAGTATTTACTTCGTAGATGTGCACATCATCAGGAAATTATGATTTAATAATTTAATTATTAATAATTTTACTTCAACTTAAAATTTTAGCCATGACGTACTACTTCAACATTATGTCATTGCAACCCCTCTGAAACTAAACAGCAAAATGTCATGAAACGTAGTAGATAATTGAACCACTTAATTACAGACGCAAGTGTTTAGACATGTGAAATTACATGTAAGCATGTAACTTCGGTGGATAGGTGTCTCATTTGCAATCATACAACATCTCGTAATTTTTATATTTAATCAAACCAATCTAACAAAAAGACTTTAAGACCGTACTTTGACCTATAATGGTTTACTTTTATAAATTTTGACTTGGATAGAGAGTTGTCTCATTGGCACTCATACCACATCTTCTATTTAGACAGAAAGTTCCGATCACAGAGTACTCGAAATAACTGAAAGCTAGGTCATAGCAATTACAGCCAAAACATTAAATATGCATAGATTGATTTTTCATGATATTTCAGGCGTGAGTTAAACATAACAACCTTTATATTCCAATCGTATTTTTCAGATAACAAGTCATACAGGAACATGTAAAATCAACAACCGAATTGTCGATGAGTTGAAAACGATGACAAACCAAACAATAAATTATATTATTTCCAACGTCAGTCCTTATGTAATGTATGCAGTTAGAATACAAGCAGTTAGTGTTAAAGGTGATGGTAATCCTTCAGATTTACAAAGAAGAACTTTACAGGATAGTAAGAATTAATAATCGCATATTAGATTAATGCAATTAGTATACAAGTCAACAGAATAAAAACAAAACTGCAACTCTAAATCAAAATTCATAATCCAGTACAAAATCAGGAAAAAATGCCATTTTGTGATCAAAATATTTTGGCGACAAATAAAAAATTGATCACAAATATAAATCTTGACCACTCGTTCATCTGTTTGAACCTTCGTATCAAATTAATCGCCTCGTTTTTCATAAAATCAGTTGATGTAATATTGTGAACTTTGTAATGATATAAAGTACTATATAAACAATTAGAAGATATGCAGGACATTCCCTCTCATTTAACAATATGTGTATGATTTTGAATTAAACGAACGAACATACGAGTTTCGTTTGTTTTTAATTAGATGCTGTATTATGGAATAGTTTGATATATGTCCTGTTAATAAGTTGTACATGTGGTAAAAGGAAGGACTTATCAGGGTAGTATGTAGTTAACAACATATTTCAATTAGGTTTATAACACCCCTCTTATAAACATTAAGTATTCATTAAGTGAAAAAGGTTTTTGATGTTTGACAAAGTGTTTTACATTAGAAATACATTTGTCATTGATATATAGGACTGTATAAATTGACAGTTAACATTGCGATAGGCCTGATAAAATTGTGCTTTTTTGTATGTATCATATCGGTCATAATTGGGTCTATAATCGGATGTGTGTGCTCTCATTAAAAAAAACCAGAATCAGACTTATTTCATTTATAGTTTAATACTCATAATTTCATCTAAACATTTGTAATTATGGTACTAAAACGGCTTTGAATGATATTGAAATTTTGTACAATAATCAAACTAACTGGGGTTTTTTTTTTTGAAACGAGAACTATTTGGGGACAGACAAGATGAAAAATAACAAGAAAACAATCAAACAGTTCATACAGTTTTCAACAAAATAGCTGAATTTCACCGACTAAAACATTCGCCAGTTTTGTTTTCTAGAAGTGACTCTGCGATGTTTCATATGACTTTTGTTGTTATCTTCAAGTAAAAAAGTTATTACTGCTTTATTGCGTTATTGGTCCTTATTAATTAATCATATCAACACTTAATAACATCTATGTCATCTAGTTCCACAAAGACTGTTGAATGTAACTGGTTCTGTTGTCAATTCAAGTTTTATTACTGTAACGTGGAATCAACCTATACCAAGACCAGGAGTTACAACTTATTATATTAAAACATATAAAGTGATCGTTAATTCTTATCCAGTATTTGTCAAATTTTTAAACATTACTGGTAAGTATTTCAATATTTAAAAGAGGAAGAAGTATAATTCTCAATGAAACAACTCTTCACAATAGACCAAAGTAACAACTATAGGTCACCGTACGGCCTATATCACTTTAAGGTTTGAAGCTGTTTTCAATCAACGTGCAATGTTGTGGTAGTTATATACTGACGATCGACATAAATATACTTCAAATGTATTATGAACTGTACAAAATAATTAAAATACAAAAGATAACCACACAGCATGTAACTGGAACGAACACAATATTTATATAGTTGAAATATGCTAAAATTTAGTTGACACTTTCAATCATTTAGTTAAGTTGTTTCTTTGATCTTTGATTAGGGTTATACAATGTCATGATTACATGAGTTAATAATTGAGATGAGCAATAATGTTTTTATACAGCCTTTACTACTTTTTCTAAAATTCAGAAAATGCTAGTGATAGATTTGAATTTTTGTGGGAAGATATGTTATCCCTTACAAAATTGCAAGTTAACAATCACTGATAGTTTATGTGTAGGTTTCAACACACAGAATGTACAGATTTCAGAACTAGAGGCATATTGGAACTATACATTTTCAGTAGTGGCTGCTACAAACAAAGGCAACAGTGAACAGTCTGAAATGTCAGCTGTAGTAACAACTAAACAAGATAGTAAATATGAATTTTAAATGAAAATTAAAAGATCTATCTCACTTGTAAATGACTTTTAGTTTTAACACTATTCATTATCTAATCAGACTTATACATCACGGTAAATTCAGAACTGATCAAACAAATCTTTGTATTCAGTTTAGTGTTTTAAGTACTGTTCGGTAATGTTTCAGAAAATCGTTTCATTTTGATTTGTATAGATGTATAACAACCACTAAACAGTCTGAGCATAGACCGCACATATCTTAACGGACGATTGTTAAGTCTGAAAGTTGACAATGAAACTTTAAATGACAACCATTTTATTGTTAAAGCTTTGAGAGCTGTTCAGTTAAAAATGACCATTATGGATCAATATTTAATTACTAGTGCCTTTATATCTTAAAAAGTAATACACAATCATAATGTCTGAATAGTTAACGTTACTTAATTATTTTTTTTCTGTGTTTAAATACACGGTTTTAATCTTGATTTTTTTGTAATTATACGGTTTTGATATTTATTTTTTATGGATTTACAACCCTTTTTTTATAGCTCCTGGTAAAATAATAAATTTTGAAATCATGAGACCAGCAAATATATTTACGACAATGCAGGTTTCCTGGGAACAGCCTTTATTACGAGAAAAGAACGGAATCATTAGAGACTATAAAATAAGCCATAACATCAGTGGGGTATGTGATTTCACTTTTAACACGTTATTCTATTATATTAGATCAGTTTAAAAGAGAGAGCACACTTATAAAGTAAAATGAACGTACGTGATTAGGATTACAGTTGGCGTAATAAGTATTAATCAGATATTTTGCAATCGATACGCTCAGAAATACACGTTTGTTTTCAATGTTTGTTAAGTATGATGTTGTTTGTCGTTTTGGTTTATCGATTTTTGGTACGGCTTTGTCATTTATATAAAAATGAATAGAAGTGATACGATTGCCAATGAGAAAAATACCAACTAAACGTTGTTTCCAAAGTTTCAGTTTGAATATTTCTTTGGTATCTTTCGTCGTTCTTGTGAAGCAAAATGCTAAAATTGAAAAAAGAGTATCACACTGAACAACGGCATAAACATTGAATTCAAATCCCTTAAAGCTAAATACTGCCTCGATAGTTATCAATTTTGATATACGTACATTTTTGTCATATTAATAACCGCAACAAATTGGTTCTTCAACCAAAACTGTATGTGTTTGTCGCATATGATGAATCAATATTCCTTTAAAGTTTAAAAAGCTGAGGAACTATGAAATATTATTGATAGTTGAAATATCGTTTTTAAGTTGTGTATTTTTTTTCAATGCAACATTAAAAATGTGTCCACAATTGATACAATATTTTCCAAGCAAAAATAGAAGATAGTAGTATTTTAAGCATTTTACAATTTTATATTTAGACAACAACAGTTGAAACTATAACTGCAGATTCTGAGATGTTCCGAAAATTATATTACATTACACCAGATAGATATTATCAGATCGAGGTAAGTATCTTGAAGAAATTTGAACTACGAAACGAAATAAATTATAATTAAAAATAAAAAAATCCTTGTTTTAATTTCTACAAAGTTAGTATGTTAATCAAACAGAGACGACAATGTCAAAATCGTAAAAAAATTAACAGTTAACAAAACATTTCACTGAAAACCAACTATTGGGCACATCGATCGTATTGAAAACCATGGTCAACTTAATTGCTCTAAAAGGCTTTGCAGTTAAATGGCTTAGAAATCTACACAAATCCCCAGCAAACAAAGTAAAAATATGACTAAATGATAATCAACAGTCTACAACACACGGAAAACTAAGGACTGAACAATATGAGTCCTACCGATGTTGAAGTCAAATGATGCGAGGAAGTTGCGACACTTTTGTTAATGCCTCTTTATTCGTAAAAAACATTGTAAACCAAGAAGATAACAGACGAAAAAAAAAAACACACAGGGGGGCAATTATAAACTGTCGAACCAATAAAACGAACAACCGACAAAAGACAAACAACTATATAAAAAACAACAGAGACACTTGAAAATGAAATATCACGGATGATGACACATACATCGTCGACCAAAATAAAAGATTTAACCCATCAAAAACTAATACTTTCTTCTCAACTCGCTGCAACAGTTTTAGTGATTGGTTCAACTCAAGTAAAGATTATTGTATGCGTTTTAAAGGAGTTGACGTATGTTAATATTCTTTTTTAATCTTTAATAGCTGTATGCAGTTAACACAATAGATCAAGCTGGAGAAAAATTGCGGAAAATATATTTTGCGTCATCAAAAAGTAATTGTAAGCATGAACCGATTTCATATACACCTTATCGCTAATAAGTACATTCCAGAAAAAAAAACAGTTATGTAGACACCTTACTGTTTTGGGTCAAATGTCGCAAAAAAAGTCATCAGCAATGAGCTGAGGGAAGAAACAAATTGGAAAGTAAATATTTAAAATTTGTATAGTTAAATAAAACTTTTAAAAGTCAAATTAAACATGCTGTATTTAAATCCAGGAATAATCAACCATTTTCTTCATAAGACAATGCTTTAACCAAGTCAGGAATTTTACAGTTATTGTCCATTCGTTTTTATGTGTTTGAATTTTTTTTTGTGATTTGATTAGTGACTTTTCGTTTTGAATTTTCGTCGGAGTTAAAATTTTTGTGATTTTACTTTTTGTCTGGTATGTTTACCATGGTTTAAACGTGTCTCTATGAAAAAATTCATGCACAATATATTGTTTCCACAAGAAAGATGCTTCAACTGGTCAGAAAAAGTTGTGTAATTAAAGAACTTATCCGATTGGCAAAAGTAGCGATAAGGTGTATTGTTTATACCTTATTTGTGTTACTGCAAAATTGAAACTATGTATACATTGGAGCAAACAATTTTTCCATATGCTCTCACTGATTCAATTTGCATTAAGACACCTTCATTAGAAAGGACGAATCCTATAGTTGCAAACCCAATAATCCCAGCTCTTGGTCGCAGTTTTGAGATGTATCTTCTTCATCGATTATCTACAGTTACTGTTGCCTTAATCTGTCGATCTACAATAATATTCATGTAAACCCCATAGGTACCTAACTTTGTTTGTATTAACATACTAACAGAGGGGAAAACAATAACTGAGGGAATTACTTAAGCTCCAAAAAACAAAGAAAAATGCGTCGAAAGAGTAAGTGTCTCCTGTTTGCATTCATCCTCGCCATGTAAATCCAGCTGATCATAAAAGTCATAATCAAAATAGAAAAATTATTATGTTGAAAGTTGAAATCAACAAGTTTATCATAAATCTTAGTTTGAAGTCATCAATATTTCTCCAGTTTGAGTAAAACAAAACTACACGAAGCAGACTTTTTAAAATGGAAGTATCATGAGACTCTAGTTTATTTGGAATTATGAGAGGCAAACATTAAGTAAAATGTGGGTTGTTGAGAGACATACCATCGGCAATATATTTTCAAGTGCTATTAAAAACGTTGTCACATGCATGTTTAGTTTGCCTGAGAAAGTAAAGCGTCTCTTAGACATTTTAAAAGTTGTGATGAGCTTTAATGACATATTCGATGCTGCGTTTTGTTAGAAATTTTTAAAACAAGTATGGCAACTTTTATACGGTTTGGTTTTAAAATGATTGTTTATTAACGTCCTAAAAAGGGACAGCATTTTGAAGTATTAAGGATATGTCACACAAGCCTTATAAAAGCGTTCATCTAGATCTATTATCATTTTCAAATAGTAGTTTTTATAAACTAAACAAAAAGTCCGGATGCGTCATAGCTTTTTTTTTATAACAACAATGAAAAGCCTTATTTATAGAAAGCAGTGATATTTTTTAAAAAGTCCGTATGTTCATCCAAAATAACATGTCTAAGAAGAAGCTTAGAGTAATGGATGTCGAACCAAGAATCATGGATGTTAACTAAATAAATCACGAACAAGATAAATTTTCATATTATATATTTTGTTTTTGACAATATGTAATATTCTTATCTTTATCATTTGTAATATTTAAGTACCTTTCAATTTTCGGTAATCAGTTACATTCATAAAAAGAGTAATGTTAGAAATTTGCAGAATTATCCTCTAGAAAGAACAAGCGGAAGGTAGCAAGGTGATTTTTAAAATTCACCATGTTCAATATCAAGAAACTAGAAACCCATCAACAACTGAGGGTGATTCGAGGTGCTCTATAGGTTAGTTACTTTTTTATCCACATCTGACAACTGTCTTGTCGCCAATGCAAGTACGAATCTGCTGATAAGCGCATTCGATGATGTTACAATCGAGGAAAAGAGACCGTGACTTAGGTTACAACAATTTGAAAATACACGTGGTCATTTGTGACACAGATATTCTATTATGATTCGAGTTAATCAGCATGACAATCTAGTTTAAGAAATATATCTTTACGATAGGTGACATTTATCTTCATTAAAGGTCTTATGGAGTGATATTTTTGTAGCACAATTGTCAGATACAGGATATTCAATTGGAACAGTAGTGGGAGCTGCAATTGGTGGTGTTCTATGTAGTGTTTTTGTCCTCGTGTTGATATTTTGGTTATTCCGGAGACACAGACATCCTTCTAAACCGTCAAGTAAGTTTAAGCATTTAAAATCTAATACTATTATGTATAAGGAGATGCTACATACATGTATGTGACAGTAACGCAGAGATACACACAATCAAATGACTGCTCGAGGTCAACACACAGTCTTAAAATAGACAAGTTTCCAAACCTTAAATCGCTGGTCGGAAAAAATGTGAATTCATGTATCAGCGATAAACAAAAGGAAATCATCATCTTGAAAGTAAATCCCCCTAATGACAGGAATATTAGTTAAAAGACGTAAAATAAGCCCATTCTTTTTTTTTTATATAAGATCAGTTAAATCAAAGAAACATGCAATAGAAACCAGAATATGAATAGCACATTACTATATTATATCGGTACAATAAGAAACAACAACTCAAGTGTAAGCAACACCATTATTAATATACTATACAGACGATTTCTCGCAGTGAACAAAATCAAAATCAAAGTACTTTATCTGCAAGTATAACGCATTGCTTTCCTACATTCAAATATCGGTTGCTATACTTCGTTAAAGATTTCGTACATCAACATCATAAACACTATTTGTAAACAAAGAATACTGCAGAAAAAAATGACAGAAGAAATATTTTTGTAACTTTGCTTCTAGCTTTAATTTTATGTGAAAAAAATTATCCATACAAAAAAGAGAGAATACCGAAAGATTTAGATTAATAAACATAATAAATAAATCGACAACCGAATCAGTTATCTTAAATTGTCATGAAAATGTTTCTGCATATAGACGACTGTAATTTCAGAATTTTTTTCGTGCATTTATTACTGCGATTTTCGAAGAATGGACAAACATGCTACACTAATTATTGCGATTTCCTGGAAATCTGCATACTGATGTATGAATAATATATCTGAGATCGAGATGGCGATGCTAATCTAGTAGCATTATTTGCAATAGTAAAAACATCGCAATAACTGATATTTTACAGTATATACATAACATTTTATTATCGATTTAATTATTTGTAAAAGTATTTCCTGGTAAAAATTGAGTTTACATTCTCGACGTTGTTTTACACAGGATCAAGACCTTCACACGAAGAATCAAAATTGTAAGTGGAAACTTCATACTTGCCTAGTACTTGGTGATAATATATAACATAAAATTGAGAATGGAAATGGGAAATGTGTCAAAGAGACAACAACATGACTTCATTTATTAAACAAATGACCGTGTTACACATTATGATATTAGCTTTTCAGTGTTTAATATAAGGTTATTACAATACAACGTTAGATATATGAAATTTAATCTATTGCACAATTTGTCCTAATGGAAGAGTGACTTTTCAATGACTGTAAATACAACATAATAAACAAAATGCATAGTAATAATATGTTGATTGGAGATAGGCGTCAAGTAATACCAAAATGGACACCAAACCTACCAAAAAGGATATAATATGATCGAAAGTATAAAATAGATGTTTTACTCATTTAAACGAAGTATCATTGAAAAAAATAAAATCATGTCAAAACATAAACCCTAACTATCAAACTTATGATACCACCCTGGACTAAATATCCACCAAAAGTGTCATCTGATCAGGGTTGAAGTATTATGTATCATGACGTCGAATTTAGTTTCAACACAACATTTAGAAAATTAATTGTTATTAAAGGTGCTCTAATCTAAATAAAGGAAATACCATATTATATATATCATTTTATTCTGGTATCACCTAAGTTGAACAAAGGTATACAGAAAAACATATTAATTTACATTACATTGCGTTGTACAGGAAGCATACATATGAGTTATATTACAACGGTATCAGGAGCAGTACAGCCGAAAGGTTAACATCAGAGATAATCCAGTTTGTCATTTATAATTCTAATAAATTGGCACAATTTTCAAAGTTTAAATTTCTGTTTTTGGTTCATAATAGCTTTAGATTTTAAAACATTACAGTTTGATAGTTATAATACATCAATCTGGAAACAAATTGAGACACAAGGCAAAATATGCTAAACTCAGCTACGAAGTACCTTTCTTCACTTGGGAGAGTTATCTTCTAAAGCTACAAATATCAAATTATACAAATCAGGATCAAATATCTTGCTGGTACAAAAGCACTGATTATGCGACACGGGACACAACAGTGTACCTAAGGTCAACCATTAAAGTCATCGACCAAGTGCTGACTGTATTAGTTTACATGAACTATACATAATTGTAATTGAATACTTCATACGCAAAGTTTTACATTTCCTTTCTCAACAGCCGTGGTTAATGCCAAATTTAAGAAATCCGAAAGTATCAAGTGTTGAAAATATAAACAGGAGCTCGTTCTTTCTACCGATAAATTATTGTTTTATTGACAATTTAGAGCACGTTGATTTTCAGTACAACGGATAGATATAAGCACAATGAACCATGACCAAATTACATTGCATATACATAAGTAATATCATTTTAGTGGAGACCAGTACGAAGACCTAGGAATGGACAATGTATCCTCTTACCTAGAACTTGGAGCAACAGACAGTCCAAATGTATATGACCAGATTGGTCGAGTACACACCGTAGACAAACACTATGAAAATATGTTACCTTAAAAGTATTTTAACCTGCTTTGTTTGATTAATTTTTATTGTACCAAATTTCATCTTACAGTACACATGTTCATAGAGAACCATTTTCGACTTCGATCAAACTATAGTTAGCAACAAAGAATAAACCACTTCTGGACCGAAAAAAAAACCATTTATCTTTTGTAAACGACTTATAATTTGAACGCCAGACGCGATTTTTCTAATCAGTACTGATTAAACAGCCAATTTAAATTCAAATTAAAAGAGCATTATAACCAAAAATTTCGAAAAATTGTACTAACAAAATTATTCTTATATAGTCTCGTGATCATTGGATTCACCTTTGATTATTAATTCTTCCTTTCATATACTCTGGATTCATTTATTTTCGTGAGCACCAATTTTCGTTGATTCAGGAAAACTTACATGTTCGTGGATTTATAATTTCGTGGTTTTACCGAAGTCTGCATACAAGCCTATAAAAAATGTGTTAATCGTTGAACATTTAATTTCGTGGTTCACCTGTACCCACGAAATCCACGAAAATTGGTATCCAATGAATACTAATGAATCCACAGTATACGAACACAACAAAGGATAGAAAATATAACATTTTATAATTTAACAGTTTTTCAACATTATAAAGACTTTTACCCAAGGATCCAGCATCCCTTTCTTTTAACTGGTGATGTTAAACTGGGACCCATATTAAGAAGATCGTTCTGATGCAGTTTGAATTAAATAGGATCACCTGTGACAAATAAAGGCGTGCAGACCTTCATATTTTGACTTGCAAAATGAAAGTATTTTAGGCTTTTGAAACACAAACTGACATGGTTCAGCAAACTTATAATTAAATAGCAATTTTGAATCATAGGAATTTTTGCGAATGTCTATAGTAGATATTAAATTGCAAACAGTTTGTGTCTACCGACAGTACCTTTAGTAACTGGAAACACATTGATTGGTTTCAGGTATTACTTTGTAGGAATAAATACAAATGTTATCCTCAATAATGTTTACACAAAATCTATCATTGATGGTTCATGTTTTCTTAAAGAGACATCTTGTGTCAATCAAAAACGTAGAAAATCTCTGAGAGATGTATTTGTTTTAGATATCTGTGATTCTTGCTTATTGTCTTTAGTTTAAGTGTTTTTTCATAGAGGAGAAAAATAGTGATTTTTTTTTGTCATGAGGAACAAGCATGAAATATGCATTTTCAAAAACATGAAACATTGTTAAAAGTTACTTTTTATAAATGAGACTTCAGTGTGCATAACATTCAACGTACAAATACTCTTTTTCGGTAAAATGCCAATAACTTGGAATACACACGTATAGGTTGCTTTCTGTAAATATAGACAAGGCAGTTTCCCATAGGAACTCACTTTGCGGCTAAGACTGTGCCACTTTTACTATGAAGTTTCGTAAAAAAATATATCATAGAAAGGAAAGCTGATATGCACTACTATTTTATTCAAAGGTCAAAACATAGGGCTGTGCGTCATATTTTCAACATTTATATGCCCTGAACTTGTTAGAGTTTAAACTTTAACTAAAATTCTGTACTACCCCTACCTCCACTTTGCTTTAGAATTCAATTTCCACCGCAACAATATCTTTTTTTATACTGGTAACAGTCCTAAGTTATGCCGTCTCTATGAGATGAAACAGAGATCATATCTGGGAATCAGTACGTAAACAAATCAGATTATCTATGAATAATATATATCTCCCACAAAGAGGCGTGGTTTGGTGGTTTGAGAAACAGCTGTATTTACAAAGTGCAACCTATACTAACATTCATTCAAATAGAAAACTCTCTAAAACACTTTTTCTCACAAAAATACTTATTTATCAGAATTATAGCCTAAAAGAAATCACTGCATATACTCCAAGTTTTCTTTTACAGTACATTTTATACCCCCACCTCTGGTTCAATTATTTAAGGAATTTGAAAACAAGACCTTAATTATTGCCAGCTTAACCTATGTGTATGTTTTCTGACATGAAATGTCTAGAACCTGTTCGAAACTGTATTCTGATAACAAACTGAAAGCATTTCAGAATACTCTAACTGTGATTTTTAGTAGTTAATCATTCCAACATTCAAGATTATATAAAGTATCCAATCCTGCCTCTGTCTCCAGTCCACATCTTACTGTATGCCTATTTGTTTAAGAAAGTTCACATTTTTTGCCTCAAATGGTCAGTTTAGAAATCTTGTCACAACAGTATCATATCTTACCATATATTTAACATAATTTAACTAATATATGAACTAGGAGTGTTTAAACAAATACATATTGGCAAAAGTTGTATGTATGGAGATACCAGTGTGATGTATGAATTCA